AAGCTCCTTCTCACTAGTTGAGTGTCTTGAATACGGCAGAGCCTGGACGAGTAGATTGTCACGGCCGGTGAATATGCTACTTCCCCCTTCTTTTCGTTCTATAAAAAGTATTTCATAACCACATCTCTTCCGAATTGGCCTCTACTGTGGATTAAATGTAATCATCTGCTCTGTTTTTTGCGACCTTAAGTGAATTGCTGAACGACGCCGTTACAACCGGCTCTTCTATATGGTCAAGTGGCCCTTGCTTTCACTATAATTGGCTTTTCTCTGACTTTCAGCTCCAAATGAGCCGAACCCAGTCGGGCATCGTAGAGCTTATTCTGAAGCGCCGACTGCCCGCGCCCGTCGACATTCTCGTCGCCATCCATTTGTCCGTGAGTCGAGGCAGTGTCCAAGTGGGCCATTCAATCACAAAAGTCTATGTGTTCGTGACACAGACGTCGCGCGACCGCTTGGACCAGTTATCCCGGCCCGGCTGGAGGTCGGCTTTATCCGGGACAAGAGAGCGTTACTGGAGTATCCGGCAGCGACTGGCGCGCCGGATGAACTTGATACGGACGTAGCGAAACTGGACCGGCCCTAAACAAACTCCTCTTCCCTCTAACTGGTATCCGCGAGACACGGTTTCGCTTAATCACACCATCTACCGCCCCTCACATCGCTCCCCTCTTTGGTTTTGCCCAACTTACAAGATACATTTATTTGTACCACACTCTCATTCTAATTGGCACACCCTCACACATTGACCAAGCGGTCCATAAAGTGGCGCATCCAAGCCGCTCAGCCAGCATTACTCTCGCATTCAGCCCAATTTGACAATCCTCCCGAACCTGCATTGCAGTGGTCACTTCCACCCATTCGCACGGCTCGGTTTAGCTCATCTGCATTATGATCTCGGCTCCAGCGGGCCAACCGATGTCCCATTGTAAATTATTTAGACTAGCTGACGCCTCTTCTCAACTCATCTTGACTCCACTTCGGCCCGACCACGACTAGGGCTTGGACGGCGAGTCAGTCGTCTAAGAAACCAGTAGCTCACACTCCGGCCTGCCTGGGCTCGCCCTGCTGGAGGCTACAGCGAAATAATTGAGTCCCGACTGCAGCATCACCTCGTAACCAGCTGACAATCGCAGTCACATGAATACGCACACCGCTCCACAAGCATAGGGAGTTGCATAAACATAAAGCATTATTTGACATCTTTCTCCATCTTCTTAGCTTCTCTCGTCTCGGCAATCGGTTCTCGAGCAGAGGCATTCAAAAAAGATTTCTGGCCACTTGGTTTAGCGCTGTCCACTAGTTAGCATGCTCAATCGCCGACAACTTTAGGCGCAAGTACGTCCAGAAAGTGGAGTCCCAAAGCAGACGGTACAGATGAGCCAATGAGATCGCAGCCACTGAAATTTACTCTATATTATCTCGATATCTAAAGGCTTTAGCAGCTGGCTCGGTGCCAAGCACAGCAATGTTTAGATCAGTACCAGATAGAGTTTATTTTCATAGTCCGAATGTCCTACAGAATAATGCTAAAATGATTTGTTGAGGAGGCTTTAATTTCGTATGAAAGGGCATGAAGAAGAGATTAGTAGGTTGGTCTCACCAGAAGTCGACGGCTAATTCCCGTCGTACTGCAGCCGTTTGGCTTTAATACGACGTTCAGGTTGACGCAGTCCACGAGACATCCTCCCTCGTTTCTAATGAAAACTGACTGAGCATTGATAAGCCTTAACTCTGCACTAACGATTAGGCATCTCACTGACAAAACCGACTACGATGCCGGCGAATCGTTTGAGGATGTACCACATCAACAGTTCGATGCTGAAAATCACGAATACTATGGCAGATGACACAGGACTATGTACGTTCCACAGAGTCTCCCTGATGCCCCGACCAAGTTGCGAAAACAACGTAGAACCAACAAGAACTATCTAATAGAAGT